AAACACCCTGTTATCTTGGTGGAACAAGTATGATTTCATATGCTGTTTATTTTTCACTAGTTAAAAGTGATGATGAAGATGGAGACGTTAAGCCCACCAAAGGACAAGTAACCCAAGGAAAAGGAAGTGATGATGGGAAGGACCCAAGAAGACCTAAACGACCGAGGACAATACTTACTACGCAGCAGAGACGAGCATTCAAAGCATCCTTTGAAGTGTCTTCCAAGCCCTGTAGGAAGGTAAGTAAGTGCTTCATCAGGGACCAGAAGTCAGCTCTGACACCAGGCCGTGGGGGTGACAGGGTCAGGCCACAGCTCCAGAGAGGCCCCTGTCCATTCCCAGGAGCCTTGGGGTGAATCCAGAGACCATGCCAGCGTATGGCAGTACTCACCCAAATGCCATCTCTGCCTGGAGCGACCAGCAGCTCAGGCCCAACCAGCTCATTGCTGTCCCTGGGTATTCACAGCATGCAGAGCAGCTCCGTGACTGTTTCCTGCTCAACAGCAATTCTTGGCTGTTACAAAACATGAAACAGGCCTTAAGTATCAAAGCCCAGGTAAACAAATGGGTTTTGCCCTTCTCCTTCCCACCACTGAGGGAGTCACTATCTAGTGAGGTGGGTGCTCAGCTTTGGTCAGCTATTGCCCTTCCAGTCTTGCTTTTTTATGAAACTTAACCCTGCTGTTAATGTTATTTATAGCAGCTAGAGAAAGGCAGAACACATTGCTTCACTGACTAAGCTGGCAAAAAGCAACCCAGGTCACGTTTCCCCCTAAGTTTGACTGTGTTATTTTATACAGCTCAAACTGTTTGTTCAGTATTTATGAAATTGGTGGTGACACGAAGGGCAGAACTCGAACAAACTATGCAAAAATATGAGGAACTTTTAAAAGTAATTCTGCACATGCAGTTTTTAGTGTAAGTACAGGCACAATCCTCCTCACTGTTGAATTTTTCTAGAAAATATTAAAAATGACACTGCTAAACTTTTCCTCCTGCAGGTCAGAGAAACACTAGCAGCCGAAACAGGACTCAGTGTGCGAGTTGTCCAGGTCTGGTTTCAAAACCAAAGAGCAAAGGTAGGTTCTTCGTCAAGTTCTCAAAAGTAAAATACAAATTGTCCTCCAACACAAGTTTTCCCCTCCCCACAGATGTAGTACATTCCACAGGGATCCCAGGGACTGAACTGTGCATATTTTGCATGCACTGCTGTCTACATCCATACAGGAAAGGCAACTTTCAAACACACACATTAAGTTTGTGTGTTCAAAGCAACATGAGGCTGGGGGTAAATTCTGCATGCAAATACGAAATGGAAACTGAAATATTTAAGCTTAGAAATGAGACTGAGCCCACAGCGGTGTGAGCATGAATATAAATGGTCTGTATTAATTGATTTTATGTTTGTAGAGAGTTTTGTAAGGAAACAGAATTGTTGCATTTGGAGCCACGAGATTGTTCTGTTCTTTCTCTTTTATCAGATGAAAAAACTAGCGCGAAGGCATCAGCAGCAGCAGGAGCAGCAAAACTCGCAGCGACTAGGGCAAGGTAGGGCACCTGTGGGGGAGGCAAAGCAAGGGCTAAAGGATCTGCAGTGTTTCTTGAAGTGCCGTTCCCACACAGTGTCTTAAGTGTAGTCCCACAGAGCGTGCACATCATCAGTGCTCTGAGTGCCCACCCCAGGTTATCCCAGAGTTCTCCCATGGGGCCAGGCTCTGGAGGTGCTTACGCAGAAGCTGTTACCTCCTTTCCAGAAGAAGTGTGCAGTACAGAGGTGTTTCCACTGGAGGAAGCCTCCAGCTCTGGGTAGATCCTGAGAAAGGGGGACCACGCTCAGCCAGGCACCTGCAGGCCCCTTGCAAGGGCAGCAGCATCACTGCCACGGCCAAGGCAGAGGGAGCTGTACAGAGGCACCAGGGTTTGCCCGGCTGCTCCGTGGATGCTCTTGAGCTTCTCCACCTCCCAAGGCCTTGCAACCTCAAATCCTCCTCTACGCAGAGCCAGAAAAACTGGTGCCAACAGAAGTTAGAGAATAAAAGGGCTGTGTCACACTCAGGACAGACTGAGAAGGTACGGTCCAGCACCCAGGAACTCCAGAAATTATGTAGTCAGAAATTAAAAGTCTTTCAACTTACTGCTCAGGGTTGTACTGTCAGACAAAATGTGGAAGGCTCCTCTGAATGACAGGACACACTGAGCTGCATCTCCCCTGTGCTCGGGTTCTGTATTGCTGCTGATGCTACTGTCTGCTGCCTGTTTGTTCCTAAGCAGTGACTCTGCCCCCCTGTTTGCTTTGCAGAAGTAATGTCCAACCGAATGGAAGGGATGATGACATCTTACACACCACTTGCACCACCACAGCAGCAGATTGTAGCAATGGATCAAAGCAGTTATGGCACAGACCCATTTCAGCAGGGTCTTACCCCTCCACAAATGCCAGGCGACCACATGAACCCTTATGGTAAGGCATGCATCATTCTGCCACATCAGAAATAGCAGGGTTCGTATGCTGGTTCACACCCCACAGGTTCAGTAGAGTTACCTGCTTTTATAGTATTGTATAGATTTGTACCAGGGAATTTGTACCAGTCAGTTTTGTATATGTGTATATTTTCATGTACGCACACAGGGGTAGAGGAGAGCTCATCCCAGGCTCTGGACACCCTTCAGAACTATTTCACAGTGTAATGCTGATAAATGATAAACCCAGCAACATCACCTCTCCAGCTCCACTTTTTTAAGCCAATATCCAAGACATCGAAAAATAAACAGTACCAAATTCTAGCTCCCTCACAAGTTTTTCCTTTCTCTTAGAAGCTTTGGGGAAAAAGTGCCTGCAATAAAGTAATCTATTCATTCCAAAATGAATAGGCATCCCTGTAGAATGCTTCAGATTGGATGCATGATTTGTTAAAAGCAGATTTTAAGCTACTAAGAAAGAGATGTGTCACCACAGCACATTTCTCCCGTGTAATTTTATTCTCTGCCCAAAATCAAGATGATGGTTTGCTTTCACGATTTCCTGGCCACACACCTGCAAGCGGACAGGTACACTAAACGCACCACAAACACTAAATGCCTAATAATTGGTTCTGGACAATTGCAGTGTGGCATTTAAATAAAATCTAAGAGGATTTCTCAGACTGTATTAGCCTTCCTGTAGCCCACAAGGGTCTGCTGTGTCAGACTTGTTTCTGCTGACCAGGAGCACTTCACTATAGAGGAGAGAGCACAAAGCCATTTCAAATGAGTGCATGAGGAAAAAGAGCCGGACTAACACTTTCTTAGTGCTCACAGGACTTGAGCTAAAGCTCTTTCTGGTACCTTCAGAGTTGAAGTAAGTTGAAATCTTATTTGCTAAGGGAAATAAAAGGCGCTGTTCCAAACCAGCCCCAGATTTGTGGAATTTTCTTAAATGAAAGCATGTTTACAACCGTAGCTGACTCGAGGCCAGGGAAGCTGGGTCTCCTCCTGAGTCCCGTCGCATGTGTAGATCTGTCTTTTACCTTGTGTGTAAATGAAGATCATTCATTACTGGTTATGGCTCTCAGACCACTTTTCCCATCACGGGCACTTGATGTCTGGTTCCACCTTCCTTGGTGCCCCTGCAAATGCCAGATCCCAGCTCACAGGGAGCCAGGGACTTGCTCCTCTTCCCCTGCACCGTTTGCTCCCGTCATCAGCCAAGACTCTTGTGCTGCTGGCTGCAGTATAAATTAAACCCTGGCAGATCCGAGTGGCACTGCTGCCAGCTGAACTCTGCAGATGGGTTGCTGGCCTTCCTCTTTGTAGGTCAGACCCTTAGAGCGAAATTAGGGTAATGTGTAAAAACAAAACCAGGAGCGTTCCCTTTTGCTGCAGCGTGCAACGTGTGAGCATCGTGTGTACTGTGTCCTCCTCTGCCTGCACAGAATCCGGGTTAACATCTACGTTTCATTTGCAGGAAACGACTCCATTTTTCATGATATCGACAGTGATACCTCTTTAACTAGCTTGAGCGACTGTTTTCTTGCCTCTTCCGAAGTTAACTCCATGCAGGCTAGGGTAGGAAATCCCATTGACAGGCTGTACTCTATGCAGAGCTCCTATTTCGCCTCATGAAAATAAAAGAAAACAAACAGCCGGCGTATATTTAGCCAGTGACTTTTTCCAGTGCAGACTCTACAGCCATATGTTGCCCAGCTCTTCCTTCACAGTGACTCCTGCTGCCTCTGGACTGCAAAGAGCATTTTTAGGAAGACTGTATCTGTGTGCATATATGTGTATGTATGTATATATATATTAATACCTACCTACATACATACATATATATATATAAACAAAACGCATCCACCAGTCCCATCCCCTTGATTCCCAGCTTGCACCAGACCACGAGACAAGCACGGAAGGAACAGAAGACCCTGCTCGTCAGAAGCCTTTGGTTTGGTTTGAGCTCATCGTTGTACAGGAAATGGATTTTGCGGAAAGCTAGACCTTTTCCTCCTTTCTCTCTTCCTTTCTTTTGGATGTTTAAACTTTGTTTGTTTTGTTTGGTTTTTTTTTTAAAGCCACTGATACTGACATCAGTCGACCATATGACAAATAAATCAAAGAAACTGGAGATTCCTCCCTTTTCTTACTGCATGATTCATACTATGTTGTGGATAAATTGCCATTTGAGCTGTGAGAAGTTAATGTAAATGTGACATTCAACATTTGTTTCCTTTCTACACTTTTTCTACATAACCTAGATCTGCTCATTAGTTTATAGCCCTTATGCATATGATACTGAGGAAACTGGTTAACAGTAATATTTGTGGAGAAAGCCAGTGATTTCATAATGAAAGGTCTATGACCCTGGAGAGGAGATGCATGTTAGGGACAGAGGCATTTAGGTTAGTATTGATCTTAAATAATTAAAACTAAAGGTGCTTACAAGACAGAGTTTTATTTAATTATTTTTTTCTGTTTTTGAAGTGAAGTGTGAGAATAAACCATTTACATTTGTTTGGAAGCAGTGCAGTGCCAAATTCAAGTCTAGACCATCACTGGCAAACATGTGTTGTTCATTCTCTTCTGTTTATTTATGTTTTGCATGAGGCATAAATGTGCTCCATTGTCCATCTGGAATAATTAAGCACTCCTTAAGTTAATTATCTCGCCTCAGCAAGAATCTACGATGCACAGTTCTAGCCTGAACCAACAGAAGTCCTGAAACGTGCACTAACTGGAGAAAAAACAGTATGAAAGAGATCACAGTGGGAGGTTTAGGTACGTTGAGCTGAAGTCTAAGCCGACTCCTGCAGGTTTCACACCGATGGGACTCCTGTATTTACAATAAATACTCAACTAACCTGTTAGTGCAAATGCAAGAACAAGCACACAAATTGAAGGGAATGTCCCAGCTGAAGTCTGAATGTCTCAGATGCTGAAGTTTGAGCATATGTCATATAGGTTTTTTGTAGGGCATAAAATAACATAAATAATAATAGTATAGTTATAAATATTGCCTGGTGATAATTATAATGTGGAGAGGCAGACAAGTACGGTCATGGCGCTTAGTGGAGAAAACTTCATGGGGAAAATTTGCCAGGGTAATATCAGTAATTATAGGGTGTGTTCAAAACAGAGCTCATGGGGAAAGATTGGCAGGATAGGCACTTTCTTAAATAAATACCTTTAATATATTGACCGTAATAGCTGAAAACAAGTCCAAAGCGTTGGCTAATCCGATTTCTCCAGGCTGAGGACTGGTACCAGGCCAGCGCTGCAGAGTCTCCCGTGGGGGTCAGCACCTTCTGTAGGGATTCTCTGGCCTCCCGTTGGAGCTGGGGGTGCCACTGGGGAGAGAGCAACCCCACTGAGCACTGGGACACCACGGCCTCGGCAGTGGGGAGTCCTGCTGGGGAGCCTCTCAGCCGGCTGCCCACCCCTTTGCTGATGGAGGAAGGTCCTCCTCGTGTCCCAGAGGGATGGATGGCAAGGATCAGATGATAAGTCCAAGGGAGTAAATAAGATCACATTTCCTACCCCCCCACCCCCAGCATAGAAAGTGGACCAAGCATGTTAGAGGTTGAGAAAGCGAAACGGGTGTGTGTTTTCACTCTGTGGAGGGGAGGAAAGCACAGGGGAGGAAACTGTGCAGTGCAGGAGAGACAAGCACAGACCCCAGGCACAGACCTGCCGTCTGCTGCACACACAGCTCTTCCCGAGCAAAGGGACCAATGTCTCAGTGAGGATTTGGGATGACACTCCCCTCCCTGTTGGTTCCCATCTCCTTCCTCTGCGGTGGCAGCAGCCCAGCAGCAGGCTGCTGTGCCCAAGGAGATGGGGCCATTGCACCCCTGTGCTTTTGCTAGCGACCATTCTCTCACTTTCTGACAGGGATGTGGATTTTCAGTTGAAGGTTGTGAGCCCCTGGGTATGTTTTGAAATTGGAAGAATTTTCTTTTCTTACCCATCCCCTTCAATTATTTTTCCCTTTCCTGTGTATCAAAATAAATAACGATTTCCTTTCTCTCCGCATGATCACAAACATCTATAAAGAACTCAGGTGATCCTCACTGCTTGCAGGGCAGAAGGCAAGCAGATTTCATATGGCACATTATAAACATTTCTCACCACCAATCTCAATGGAATCATCAAGTTTTCCTCCCCACCCCTCTGCTGTGCTACTTTAGAGACATAGAAAAGCAGCTTCACCATCTCAAACATACCAGGTTTATAGACTCCACACATAGGCACAACCTCGCTTCACCCCTCATTACTAGCAGGCTCAAAATGGCATTTTTAGTGTTTACAGGGACTTATATGAGAACTATAATGTGACCTACAGTTTGGAGAACTGCCTTGTCCCAACTCTACCTCTGCTTGTGGGCTGGATGTTGAAATAACAATCCATTTCCAAGGAAAGAATCAAATATCCCATTTTATAGCTGAAGTAACCACCATCTTTTGCTGACTGTTTTTTTATGGATGACTGTTTGCCACCCTTTTTCTCCTTTCCTTTTTCTTTTCATTGCTTGTACATACCACCCCCTCTTCCCTTGGTGTGTTGGATGATGATGCCTTACCTGTTTGTTCCCCCATATTCTACCATCTCTGGTGCCACGTGCACGACACGGTCGAGCCCTCTGGCATGCGTAATGTTTCCCATGCCACTATGGGTTGCTGCTGGTCAAGGGAAGGAATGCATAGCCAATGATTTCCAATGGACCCGTTATATCTGGCAAAGGCCAAAGTTCATTAAAGCAAAATAAATGTCACCTTTATTTTGTGGAACGAATTACCCTACTGGAGTGTGATCATTGTGGTTTTAACCTGGGACCTGCAGTAAAAGATTATAGAGCAACCTCTGACCTTTTTGATTTCTGCTCTACTCTTCTGTTGTCAAGGGAATTTCACTGATCAGGTGAAAGTAAAATGTTTAATGGGCCATATCACAGTAATATCTTACACTGAGTCAAATTGATAAACTCTTGCCAAAAATTCTTAGCATCTGGCACTTCCACGGAAACCACAAACAATGATTGCACATAAGGGAGCTTGGAGGCTAGAGGTCATGACAGCAGTTTATTACATGCACCTTACAGTGATCATTTTCCCTGGGAAATTAACCCCTCTCTAATACAAACGCATCAAGTGAGCTCTTGACGGTGTTTCAATCATGTTGTTTTGGCTAAGCAAGGAATACATGTTAAGCTCGAGTGGTGACAAGACACAATTAAGTAAAAGATGATTGATTAGGTTTCAGTGTTTGCTCAGTAACGTTTAAAAAAGATGGTTGTGAGATCAGAATGAATATGCCAGGCACCAGCGTCCTCAGAGGTCTTTAGTGTGCAGTTACCAGCTGGTAACAGCGGTACATGAGAGATGTGCTGGCATTCAGGAATGGTTACTGAGCAGTGTGGACCTTGGTCTCACCACTGGGCTCTCAGCTGACCGGTAGCACCTTCCCATTGCACAGCTGACTGCTGAGAGGACAATTCCTACCGTTCACTGCTGTTCTCAGCCCCTGTTCACCACAGCACTGTGGATTAAAACCTGTACTAAAACCTAACCAGCAGTTAGGGGCTGGTGGTAAATCTCTTTCACAGTCACAACATGGAAGACTATTAGTTTGCTGCAAGTAAAGTTTGAATCACTAAGATTCAAACACCATCCGAGGCATTTTGGTCTCCTTTTCTTCTTTAAACTCTACCATAAAAAACATCCTGATCACTTGGCTCAGCTGCTGCTTACCATGCCTGGAATGTGACTCGTGTTAGTCCTTACAATGGCTGCGGAGTGGATCTTTGAGAGCCACCCTGCACAAGTCAGATGAGTGTCACCAGGTCCTTTGAAAGGGTCATTGTCAGCAGCAACTCAGCCACCTCACTGTACCGTCACTGCATGGGGAAGGTCCTTCATGCTGGCAAACCTTCCAGGGATGATGTGAACCCGCTTACCTCTTCCTACTGTGCTCAGGACTCCCTCCTACTTTCCTTAAGGATCAGAAGTATATCCCAAGCCAGCATTGTAGGTGCTGCTAGGGATGCTGCAAGCTGGGGTTTGCGAGAGCACCTCTTTGAACCATGTCATAATAATTCTGGTTGTCCCCAAATGTCACTAGAAGTTAACAGCAGAACCCAGGAGGAAGGGAAGGGGTCTTATAAGCCTGGTGCTTGGTCACAACAGTGAAAGGACAGAGAGGCTACTGAAGCACATCAAAGCCATGGGAACTGGAGCCACAGCACCCAGAGTCTCTAGTGCTCAGGATAGTGCTTTACACAGCCCCATGTCCAAACCACGTCGTGTGTTTCTGAACAGCAGATGCTCCCTGTGTGTGTGTGGGGGGGTCCATCTCCAGCCCAGCCTCCTCATCCCAGTGGCATGGGACAGTGGGTGGCTGCACCCATGGCAGCGTGGCCAGGGCTTCAGGCCTCTTCTCTTGGTTGGGGGGCACTTGGGACTTGCTGCCTCTTGGCAGGCACCTGAAGTCTTTTGGCTTTGTAGGATTTAAGCACAGTCTTGCTCATTTGAGGTCTATTGGAATAAACTGACAACTATTTGCCCTCCACAAGGATGCAGTCGGGTCCCCTTGGTTCTGCACACCCTGTTCCTGCTCAGCAGTGACTGTGAAGGGACTGCCAGCTCCTTTGCATTGGGAACTCTGTTTTTAAGTGAACACCCTATTTTTTAGCTGTGTATGGCTGTATTACTTGTATATTTATATATTCTGTATTTATGTTATCGAAATGTAGTATTTTGTAGCTGTCTGTTACAATTTGTTTAACTTGTAAAAAAATATGACTATGCTCTCTCATACTTAACCAGCTGCCTTCCACCGTAGACTCTCTGCTCCTTTCCCTCTGTGTTGGTAACAAACCACCATAATGTATGTAGATCAGATTCTTATTTTGTTTTCTTTTTAATTTAATTACTTGTCATTGTTAAATTATTTATTAGTGTTTTTAAATTTCAAGTCACTGCATTTTTTTTGCCTGCCACCATTGCCTGGCAGCCAAGATAC